CAAAAACTTTTTAAGCTGGAATTCTATATATATATATATATATATATATATATATATATATATATTAAAATATCCATCTATATAAATACCCATGTACATACCCTGTGCAATAACCCTGTATAATATCCATCCATTTTCCGTCACGCTTATCCCAAGTGGGGTTGTGAGGGGTGCTGGTGCCTATCTCCAGCTGTCTACGGGCGAGAGGTGAGGTCCACCCTGGACAGAACACCAGTCCTTTGCAGGGCAACATAGAGACAAACAACTATCACACACTCACACCTACTGTAAGGAGAATTTAGAGAAGCCAATTAACCTAACAGTCATGTTTTTGGACTGTGGGAGGAAGCCGGAGTACCCGTAGAGAACCCACATATGCTCAGGGAGAACATGCAAACTCCATGCAGAAACACCCCGTGCCGGGAATCAAGCCTAGAACCTTCTTGCTGCAAGGCAGCAGTGCTACCCACTGTGCCACTGAGTAAATGGCCCTGTATAATAATCCTGTTTAATGTGGACGCACTTATACTGAATATACCCCCATTCATCTTTTTCTTCCTTTGGCACCTTCTTTTCTTTTTGACTATTTGAGCCGATGTAACGATTACATTACTCCAGAGTGAGATCAATAAAGTCAATCAATCAATCAATCATGTTGACCTGCGCTATAGAGCTATAGCCACGAACACACAGCGTCACTGTGTTGCCAAAGCAATGACTGCTTTCCCTTTCTTAGAGACTTAGACAGATATTATTTGACTTTTTGTACACACAAGTCTAAACAAAAACTACATTTCGTTAAGTACAGCTCTCTAGACTATTTCCTTTTTTTAAATTGCAGGCTTGATAAGGTAATCAGGAGTGATAAAAGCATTGTGATGAAAGAAAGTGCTGTAAACATATGACTGTATTGTTACAGTTCTAACATTCAGTATTTTTTGTTTCGTTTTCATTTTTTTTTTCTTATTTTTATTTAATTTCTTTCATTTTTTAATTAAAAAAATATTTTATATGTTTAATGTAAATAAATAAATAAATAAATAAATAAATAAATAATCTTGTTGCAGGGCTTTGGGTGTGGCTTTTTTGCGAAATGCACTTGATAGTTAAAGGTTGGTGGTAAGGAGGCGGCGTGGGATTCAAGCAAAATAGGCTTTTGCAGCGCTTAGTATCTCAAGTTTTCTTTTGTTTTAAATCCCTGCTCTATTATTAT